TGGGCCCGTGTTTGGCCTCCGGGCCCGTGCCGGTGGCGGGGTGCGCTGGTGCGCGGCGTTTGTCCTGCGGGTTGCAGCCTCTGCCTTCGGCGTGTTCGCACTCGGGGGGAGAAACGCTACGGGACTGCTCCCGTTGCCTGCCGGTTTTGCCGTTCACCCTAACCGGTAGGGCCAAGTCCCGCATTTGTCCCCGTATCCATTCTAACCTTTTGCCAGGGGTAGGCAGCTCTCCTCGTTTTCAGGTTGCCAGTACTCCGAGTGTCTACGTTAAATCGTCTCTTTGGTTTTTTTTGCAGTGCAATGGAAGGAGAGGTCAGCATACTCCAAAACAAAATCAGGAATCGTTTTTCTAATAAACACAGGAGGCTGAAGCCTCTTGTGGTTCACTACCATAAAAAGACCACTTATGCTGTGATACCCAAAAATTACCGTTAGAATGATAAACCATTAGTGTGGTGTAGCAGGATAGGAGGAGGTTCCAGTGTGGCTTCCCTGAAGTAACTGTATGCCTTCTTCATCTATGGGAACTGCTTAAGTATGTCAGTAAACCAGTAGTTACAACAAATGTCCTGAGGACATAAGAATACAAAGGACTTACGAAATCAATGCTATGGGAACGGCTATTGCAAGAAACTGTGGCATATGGCCTTTCTCATAGGTTGACCAAGCTTGAGCTTAGAAGTACCCAGGCTTTTATTTTGTTATGACTGTTCATTTTGGATAACCGTTCCAGAGCTCACTTTCTGCGGTCATTAACGATCTTTCAGTTTCAGTCTAAATTTATTCATAGCACGTTAATAACTGTCCTTGTGCCTGTATTATCCCTTATATAACACTGCTCCCTCATGGTTCTGCCTCGTAGTGTATTTGGAGTGAGTGCCTGTGTTTCCTCATAGTTTATTTTGTTAAATTAAACAAGCTAAATTCTTCTGGTTTGTAATACCGATTTTCAGTTTCCATGCTCATCATAGGTCTTCTCTGCATCTGTTCCAGTTTCAGTTCATCTTTCTTGAACGCTGCCGACCAAAATTTTATGATCTCAATTTCTTTTACTTTAAAAAAAAAAAAAACAACTTTTGAAAGCTCATTTAAAAAAAAAAAAGACTCTACAGGAAGCTAATAGGCTTTGGGCAAAAACTGTGATGTAAATGAGAATTCATACTAGCTGATCACAAAATGTTAGATACACAAGCATTTCTGACATGCCATTCTTATATAGCAGTATATTGGTAATATTCTTTAATAAAACCATGATTGCAAATGGATATATATTAAACTGGATAAAACCAACAAGCAATAGAATACTGTATGGCTCTGTTCCTTTGTGGTGATTTCTGTTTTTAATGGCAGTTTAATGGATGTTTGTAGTACATCTTTAATTCTAGCTTTCAGCACGTAATGCTTCATCTTGGAGAGCATTGCTTTCTTTCCCAGTGAGGCTTAAAGTGATACACAGGAGATCAAAGTTGATCACCACCTCTCAGAACTGAACTATTCTTTTCCTACTTGACGTTTTCATTTTAAAATTGCAATGTAGGAGCTGCATAATTTTAAATTGTCTCATAAGATTATTTCTGAGGTGAAAGTTAATCATAACTTATATTTGAAAGGAGCGGGCATTGAAAAGGTGCTGTAACTCCTTACTGACTAAGGATGCTTTCAGGTGGTCAGTGCTTTTACTGGAAGAAGCTAGTTGTTCTATATATTCTTTTAAAAAATGATAAATCATGAAAATTCACTTCGTACACAACCCAGTTTGCCTGTCACATAATAAAGACAATGTGGGGGGGAAGCTGTGTGTGCTGAGCAGTTTTAGTCTTACCATAGATTGCATATTACTATTCTGGTATGTGTACCAAACATCGATAGAATTTATAGATACTTAGTTACATGTTTAATGTAAACAAATTGACCGAGTTTTCTTCCCAAATTTGGATGCTTAACTATAAATAGCCTGACTTTTAAATATGTCAAACTCTGCAGCTCCTGTTGACCTAAATGGGATCTGTGCATATTCAGCACTCTTGAAGATCATGCAGCTTATTAGAGACCTAACTTTAAATGCCTGTATGTATAAATATAAGTAGATAATAAGGCATTTGAATTACTGAGTAGTGATATTTTGACCATCTGTGTGTGGGTTTTTTGGTTTAATATCTACAAGATAACAGTACTTTTGCATTTCAGAAAAGTAATAATTGCAATAGATTGGGCTATGAGAGGGTTGTATTTCAAGGTAATTTTGTGTTCCAACAAGTGTTGAAATAGAATGACAGGCAGTTGCCCTTTAACAAATTCAGCTTCGTTGTTGATGTTGATTGTGAAACAGTTTTAAATAGTTTGAACTAATAATAAAAAATCTGGAATGTACTTTTAAATTATTTCCCATTTCTCATATTAAAATAACACTTATCATCCTTTTGTTTCTATAAGCTATTGCAGATCACAAGCCTCTGGTAAAGTAATAAGTGGAGAGGAACATTTTTCAAGCAAAAAGTGCCTGGCTTGGTTTTATGAATATGCAGGTAATAAGCAATGGATTCATATTTGAAACTACATGGTTTTGTTTAAAGCAAATGAATACATAAAATTTTATTTGCATTTTGCTTTTTTTATGCTGATGTAGACAAAAAATATGTCCATATTCGCTTCCTTATAACATGCACCTGAATTAGTATAGCCTTTGCTATTGCCTTTTCAGTATTTGTTTTTTTTTTTTACTTCTTTATACTTTATAACTTAACATGGAGTTCTTTAAAATGAAATAACTGATGTTGGACAGTACAGTGTTGAACCAGGGTATGCTGAATGGTTCTACTTCTTGATTTGAAATGGACAAGTAGAAGTCAGGGCACTGAGAGACAGTTTAGATAGAAGTTTACTTCTCCTATTAGATCTTGTTTATAATCAAATTGGAAGGATAATGAAATAGTTCTCTTTGTTTTCTATTCTACAAAATAAAATAATAGATGCTTATATTGTTTTTCCTATCTGCGAATCTGTCCTAACATTTTTAATATTTTAAATGACAAATGTTTCATTCAAAAGTGTTAAAATAGCCTCTTTCAAATAAATGAGAATTGTTATCAAACTAATAGTTGCTTTCAGTGAAATGCAGTGTATTTTGCAGAATTTATTGGACTATTGCTGCCATATATTTACCAATTATATGGTTAGAAATTCAGGATCTGTAAACTGTTATTAATTTCTTTTCTTGTCTAGCTCCTACTTGAAGTCCATCATGACTAGTTGGTGATTAAAACTCATTAATGGCCAGTTCTCAGTGTGAAATGAGCTGATGATTTATCTGCCAGCAATTGGTTCAAGTATATTTATCAGAACTGATGTTTTCCTTGCAGTCTTTCCACAGTAATGAACTACTCCTGATTCTAGTAATCTGCTTTCTACTTTAGGTTTGAGGCATACTCTTTTGGAGGAAAGAGTCTTGAGGAAAACAACAATTCTCAGTTAATTTTCTTCTGATAAATGTGTCTGCACATACTTTTAACTTTTTAAGGCCTGTACATTTTGGTTTTCTTGTTGAGTCAAGAACTGAGTGTAGGAGGTTATACTTTGTTAGTTAACCAGTAATCAAAATATGCCATGCTTCTAGCATAAAATAGAATTCCAGTGAAATTATACACCATAGGAGATTAAATATTTCCATTAAAAGGAAAATTATATATGCACATGCATATATATATATATATGAATTGTACATATGATTTCTGGGCCAAAAAAGTTTATACTTGTCGTTACCAGTGAGCCCTTGTATGTGTTTCTCTTCATAACTTAAACTTGCAGGTTTTTTTAACATGCTATATGTAAGGGCTTCTCAAAACCAGATGGCAGTTGTTTTGTTTACCTAGGCAAAATGTTCTTTTCAGCGTTTTTCAAGAGGTAGGGGTTTATGATCTTAAATGCCAGTTGCATTTTATTTTCCTGTAAAAGTAGCGATTCTCAATAGTTTTTATTGACGATGTTCTTATCTCACAGTGAGTAATTATTCAAAATACACTATCCAAACTCTTAAACAGAATTCTGCTTACAATAATGGCAGCAGATAAAAATTAAGTGGAGACAGGTATCATCAAGGGGAAATAAAAAAAGGACTGTTCTATTTATGTATAAATAGCAAAATTTGCCAAAAAATCCTTTACCTTTTACATGGGTTCATATTCACTAAAAGAATGTTAACATAGTGATCCAAGACACATCAAAATAGAATGTCATAATATTTGGTTGCCCAGTAGGAGTCATTTTTGGAACAGACTTAGCAGAAGTAACTGAAACCAGACAGGGATTCAGAGAAACAAAGCGGTGTAGAGTGTGTCTGTGTGTGCTCTTTAAATATGTTATTTTGCTGCTTTGTAGAGGCTTTCTTCATGTTAAAATGGAAAAGTGACAGCGTAACACTAACTTTTGTGGTCCTAATCAAGTTCTTTTCATTGGAGTCATAAACCTTTTTCTGCTTTGTACGTGGCTAACATGCTGATTTATGGTTTTTTCTGATTTATTATTTTTTCTGATTTATGGTTATCGCTCTCCTCATATTACTCAGCATGATAAAACTAACCTTACATTATTTGAAGATTCATCCTCTTCTGCGTTAACATTATGGGTTTGCACTAACACCATTGAAAGAGTAGTATTTGTAGTAATAGCTCAGACTATTTTTTTTTTATTATTGTTGATAAAATAACTCTTTGAGGAACATTATTCACAGAGTAACTTCAGCACAGAGTAGCAGTACCCAAGTTGTCTTAAAAACAATTGACCGCCACAGTTACTGGAGTTGAGCTATGTCAATGGGGAATTCAGTGGAGTCTTTTGAAAACTCGCATACGCAAACGAAAATAGCTTGTCTGCTGTTGTGGGGAGGCAGTGTACAACACAAAAGTTCTGGTTTAGTTTTGGTTTTAGTTCATAGTGTTACCTCATATGTAATATACACGTCTCCACATTGCAGTTGATAACAATGGTTCTAGCATAAAAGCTACTTAATAGTGTAATTCAGTGTTTTTAAAGATGGCCTGTGTGTGCAATATAATCTAATTATTGTTGTGTGTAACCCTTGTGAGCAGTGACTGTTACTTAAATTTCAGTCTGGTTTCTTTTTGGTTTTGAAGGTCCTGATGAAGTTGTGGGGCCCGAAGGAATGGAAAAGTTCTGTGAAGACATCGGTGTTGAGCCTGAAAATGTAGGTTTCTTGCACGATACTAGTAACACTTTAAAAGAGGGTATTGCATAAGAGATTAAGTTCCGTGTAAAACTCTGAACTTCAGTAAGCAAAGAGTTGCTTGTCTTCCTGCTTTTAGGAGCTGTTCTAAGATATTTCAACTGAATACATCAATTATGCATGGCTGGTGTGTGAGGTTTTTTGTTTGTTTTATTATAGTAACACTTCATTTTCAAAAATTGAAATTAAGTGAAAGATTGCACATAGCTGAATTATTAAATGGTAAGAAGTATCAAGTGCAAGCATGTACAGCAATTGCTAGAATGTTTGAATGGTTAGAGTTTTCTTCTTGGACATCTAGAAATCAGCCATTTCTTACATACTGACTCCTTTTTCTCCCCTTGGTTTTTTTTCCCCTTAGATTATTATGTTAGTTTTAGCCTGGAAACTAGAGGCTGAAAGCATGGGATTTTTTACCAAGGAAGAATGGTTAAAAGGAATGACCTCATTACAGTAAGAGTGTTTTTACATATCTAATATAATTATATTATGTTCTAATTTTATGTTTGTACCAGTAGCTTAATTATTCTTCCCCTCAGTTTCTTGTGCATTGGCAATAAGACACAGAAACTCTTGCTTTTAGGGCTGGTCTCGGTCAGCAACTGGAAGTAGGTAGTGGTGTTCATCAAGTTCTGAATCTGATGAGTTCACTCAAATGATAACGTTTTGTCTAACCCTAGTAAGTCAGGTTTTGGTGGTTTCTTTTTCTTACAAAAAAATATGTTAAAATACCATTCTAGTTAGCAGACACAAATAAGTAGATCTGGAGATACCCATAAGTATATCTCAGTACTGGTATTCTAGAAAGTTTTTACTGATTTCTAAGCTTTATAGATGAGGACTGTATTGATACTAATCTTGGTTATTCTGCTGTCTATTAGATGTAGGTCAGAAGCCATGCTTAATGCTTAGGTTAAATAACACTTCTTCAATTGATAAATAAACTTCTCACTCCTTCTGTTTGTAAGAATTTTTGGTGAGATAATGCTCTGCCTAAAGAGGTGGTTTCTTTCATGAAACTAACCAGCTTTTTGTGAAGCTTCCTTCAGATGTCACTTTGTCAGTTTGTTCTTCATGAAACTGCTTATGGTATGTGAATGTTTTAAGGGTGACTTGTTACGACGCTGCCTTCAATATTAAAAAGATCAGGGAGCTACTGTTGCAGCTACAGCATGGTGGGAAAGAGGAGTTGATTTGACCCTTGGAGTTGGCGCAGTTGCCCTCTCAGTTGTGAATTGGTTTGGGAAATTGTACTGGGCTGTATTCTGGTTATTCGAGACTCTGGAGTAAGACACTCTGGTCTGACTCTCTTGTCCAAATCAAATAAGATTTGGATCAGGCTTCTGATAGATGCCTTGATTATTTTGTGACTATCAGAAGCTTTTAAATTTAGAAAGAGCTGGAATGATTAAATTGCCTGAAATTCAGGACGACAGAGATTAAATTCTGGGTACGTAAACTTTTACATGCAGTGAATGGGTATAATTTTGTCGCTTCTCTGAAGTACTTAATTTGTATGCCCAAATGGAAGCTCTCAAGAGTTAGTCTAGCAGAATGTAAGCACAAAAATGTATGAAATCAGGCGCATCTTCAGAGCCAATATTATAGACTTTGTTTCTAATAATCTGCTGTGATTAGGAATCTTCTAGTTCTTTTAAGAACAGAGCTGGTCATGCTGTAGGCTAAATGTGCTTAAAACAGAAAGTACGGTGCTGCTGTGCGTTTTTATATAAACAGACTTGTGATCGAATCACTTCCCTAAGCCTAAACCAGCTAATCTGTATGTTTTGCTTCCCCTGGGTGTGCTCTAATAGCAGGCTGTAGACTAAGCAGCTGGATGAAGCAGTGACACTCACGTAAAGGAATTCAAGATTCATTGGCTTAAAAAGAGAATATAAATCTGTAGACTTGTGCTGTTTGTGCTTATTGCGAAGGAAGGATCATATTATGGGATTCCATCTGGGATGGGAGAATCTAGTTTCTCTTGAAAGGTTTGACAGAAGTTTTGAAGGAGAAGGATTTTACACTCTTAAAGCAATAGAGTATTATTATGTTCTTGCACAGCGTGCTTTTTTTTGGTTTTGCATGAAGAAATTACATGAAAATGCCTTAAAAGCCCAGAGTGTATTCTAAGTCAGAATTATAAAATGGAACCCTTATTTCAAAATATGTGAAATGTCATATAAGGTAGTGGCATGAACAGGGTTGGGTGGAATTCGGCTCCATAGTAAGACGCCTGAATGTGTGCTTTATATGCAAGAGCTGGATTTCTTAAACTCTTACTGCAGTCTTTGGAGATCTAGTCAATGTAGTGGAGCCTAGGGAGGTATTCAGTTTGCCCTAAGATGTAGTGAGTGAGTGGTCACCTGAATTGCTCTTACGGGTTGGTTGGCTAGACCTCTATGAATGGCAACACCTAAAGCTTAGACACCTAAATCTAATGTACAGTTAGATGTCAACATTTTGTTTCCTGAACCTTGAAGTGACATTTTTTTTCTGTGTGGTTTTGTGATATGCTGATGAAGTTTGTTCTTTCGAGGGGAGAAAAATAAATAAACGATAAGGTATACACTGTCAAAATTAAGGTGGATTAAGCACCAAGTAGCAGCTTATGAGACATAAAAAACATAAGTTGTGAAAGTGAGGGTTTTAGTATATCGTGTTGGTACGGTGAATTCTGCCCTGTATATATGTGTGTGTGTATGTGTGTACATATACATATATATATATATGAAAGCTGGGTGCCTGAATCTAAATTAATCACCTGACACTCTTTTCATAGTCAGCAGAAAGAAGCGGGTACCTCTGCTGGGCAGTTTATTTCAGTGATTTTAAACACCTCCTTAGGATGAAATGAATAGCCTTCAAGAAGTGACTGTTTATCTACATTTGCTTTAAAGCCATTGGGTGGTGAATAACTTAGAGTTGAGCATTTAACTTTACATATCTGAGTTAAAGGAGAAGCATACTCATGTATTTGTCAATTGTAGACTTTATAGACCTACAAAGGAAAAAAATCTAGTTATAAAATGAAGGTGAAGGAAAAAGGATTACTATTCATGATTTTAAGTCCACAGAAGTCATTGTTTGAACTAGGTAAATACAAAGAATTTAGTGTGTAAGGAAGTGAGGCATAAGCAGCTGTATTGTCTGAGTAATTCTGGCTGGTTATCTTTTTTTAACCTTAGAATTTGAGCCAAATTTTACATTAACATTGAGCTTTTGAAAATAAGTGGCCAGGTAAAGGAGAGAGCGCCACATTAGATTCCAGCTGAGAGAAAGATACGGTCATGATCTCACATTTTTAGGTACAAGAGAAGCCCCAAGAGAGAGGGAGAGGCAAGCAGGCAGGAAAGTGAGGTTTGTAGCTTCTTGCTGTTTGCAGAATTACTAGTAAAAACAGCTTATTTGGGTTGGGTTTAATGATGGCCTGATATCACCTTCTTTTCCAACAAGCTTTTTGCTTGTTATTGCCTTTCTTTCTGTTAATGTTTGTGAGGCTAACACAAAGCATAGTGTAAATAACTCTTTTTTGTAATGCCAGTATGGCATTCAACGTATACTGGAATCTAAACAATTTCTGGTTTCCAGACCTGTAAATCAATTGACATAGTGAAACTATAGCATTGTCAGGGCACGGAAAAGATGTCCTTTTGCTGTCTTAAGCCGTTACTTCCTTGGACCTCTGTATGCTCCAGTTATAACATGGAGCCTAAATTTCAGAAGATCCAGTTTCAGTGTTTGAAGAGGGTGGATGGGCTAGATGGATATAATTTTGTTCTTTTCCATCTGGGGGGCTGGATTATGGCAGGGGAACTCTTTTGTAGATTAAAAGACCTTCAAACTACTTTATATACTACCATTAAATGCTTTTGGTTTAATGTTTGTATACATCTTGCTTGTCTTTTACTAAAAAGAAAACTTAGTATGTGTGAATAATTATGAAATATGAAACACTGGAATATCTGAGTAGGAGTTACCGAATCATCACTATGTGCATGTTAGCTATGCCTCAAATGAACTCTCTACCTCAACAGAAATCAAAAGAGGACTGCTTTGTGGTGATAATTTAAGTTTTGTTATAAATATGATGTAGGGATGTGAAGAGAATGTAGTAAACTAATGTTTAGTTTTGTTGATCTTGAGGTAACCTTGTTTAATGCTATCTCTCAGTAAAGGCAGTTCAAGAAATGACATCTTTTTCTAGTCTCTACAGGAGTCTGGTGTTAATTCACTTGTGCTAATTAGGTTGTTCTGACAAAAAAAATACTGTTAGGAAGATTATTCTAAATATGGGTGACCTCAGTTATCTTGTTTATGGTGCAGCCACACAAGCATCTATATCTCTGTAAAAGAGGAGTTTGACAGCTCTTTACCTCACTAATGTGAAGAAAATCAGTGGCCAGGTGTGGAAATTCCTTAAAGGGCTTTAACAGAGATACGTCCATGCATCGTGCTTCAGGGTATGGTGCCTGTCTGTTTGAGTGTGATCCATTTGACTGTTTGGTTTTAACTAGGTTGACAATAGTTCAGGAGTCTTGTGGCTTAATAATTGCACATTTTCATACCAATTTTTTCAAGAGAATCACTTCTACATTAAAATACATGTAGCCAATAGTAGAGTAGACAATAACAGCAATTTTACTTCGTACTTACATTTATGATTATTTGAACAATTTTAACAAAATATTTTGTAAGACATTTAAACATAATGAAACTTTTGTTCATCCATGGTATAGTAAATAATCTCAGTCAAATTATACTTGACAAAATATGTGGTAAACCCACTTTAAGTAGTTTATATACGTCAGTAATACACTAACAGCATGAATATTTAGTTAGGTGTTAAATAGGTAATTTGTCCTCAAATGTAGAGGACAATATTATTGCAGCATGAAGGTTTGAACATAGAAGGAAGAGAGATGACGATAAAATGAGATGCCTTTGTAACATAGCATAATACTGTTTTAAGAGTTAAACGGTAGAATGCTTAGACCAATTAGATGGCTGAAGACAAAAAAAGTAATCTTTTTCTTTAGTTAAATTTACCAAAGGTTTTTTAACAAGATTTCTTTTCAACTTAATGCATGGTTTATTCCAAAATATATTAGTTCTTGTCATCTGAATATGCAGTCTAATTAGCTAATAGTTTTATTATTTAGCACTGATCTTGGCTGGGAATCAGTGCTGCTTTAGGTGGATGCTGCTAGAGACAAGAAATAACAAAGGGCTCCATCAGCTGGAGTTGCGACGTTTCTCTTGTTGCAAGCACAGGCTGGCAGACCTGAGGAGCAGGAAGTACCGGCTGTGGGCAAAGTACAGCATCTAAGTACAGCATCTCTGCAACCTGCTGCAGTACTCCGAAAGGGCCCTTGCTATGGGGCTGTTGTGACAAGTCCATAAGGAGCTGTTAAAGATGCCAATGTATTCTCTGAGAGGCAGGCTGCCAGAAGAGGGGCACGTTACCAAAGGAAATATTTATGTACATCTGCATTTCTGAAAGTATTGTTTCTGTCACGCAGGATACAGGGCAAGGTGGAATTTTTTTTTTTTTTTTAAATCATGGCAGCTATATTTTGTAAGAAGAAAATGTGATATAACAACTGTTCTTTTGTGTGAATCTTTCCTGGAGGATTAGCATGTATAAATTACATTCTACTCTGCCATTGTTGGTAAATCTAACCCATTTTCTATTTAGAAACAAAAGTCCTTGCGAAGTAAAGTATGTGGAGATCTTCTTTTCTGCCGAAGGGTTATTTTTGCCAAAGGGTTATCCTGTCAACTAGTAGACCTGTACATTCTTGTACAGCCTGTGAGTTTTCAGTTGAATAGCTACTGACTAATCCAGGTAATAGGCTTATCAGAGCTTGCATTTATCAGTCGTAAAACAGGAGCAGACTAGTATGTTTTGCAGAGTGCCTGCTCAATCCTGATACTCAAACATGTAGTCTTGAAGTGTATGTTTAGGGTTTCTTTTTTTCCAAACAGGTACGGCATAAAGCACTTATTTACAGCTGGATTTTACCACCTTAGTGCACACTGAATACTGTTCTCTGCAAACTTGCATAGTGATTGAAAAATAAGATGGTGCTGGGTATGAATATAAATTGCAGAGTATGGCATAAAAAGAGCACTATTTGAGAAGTAAAGCAGAGATTTTATTATGTTGTTGATACGTTTTTAAAAAAATTGCTTTCAGAAGCCAGGCATTCATCATTTCAATAGCTGCAAATGTTGAGCATGTTCAGTGTTCTTTCAGTCACTTTCATAGTATTACTACTGTATATTTGATGATTGCATTTTGGTGATTTTAATCTTTTATGTTTGCTGGAATTTTTTTCATTGTCCAAATGTTTCATTTTGAACTTCTAACGTCATTTGTTTTTCTTCATTTTAAGGTGTGACTGTACAGAAAAATTACAAAGTAAATTTGACTTCTTGCGGTCACAATTGAATGACATTTCATCCTTTAAGAATATCTACAGATATGCCTTTGATTTTGCAAGGGTAAGACTACTGGAATGTTAGAGAAGTTCTTATTTTCATTATTCAACGAGCTTGTACTTGAGTGGTTTTTGTGCTTTCTTTATTCAACCTTAGGATAAAGACCAGCGAAGTCTTGATATTGATACTGCAAAATCCATGTTAGCTCTTCTGCTTGGAAGAACTTGGCCACTGTTTTCAGTATTTTATCAATACCTGGAGGTACAACTTCCCTTGACTTCCTGAATGATGGCATAGTAGTTGGGCTGTTCTGTGAAAAGATTTCAGGGGTTGCATTGTTTTGCTCAAGAATGTAGCTGTATTGCTCCTCTTCCCTTGCTCGATGTGCTCATGAAACAGTGATGTTCTTGTATGCATCACAGATCCTTTTCTCCCTCCCTGTGCCCCACCCCTCCTCTTATCAAAGGCAGCAAAAATTCCATCTTAATTAGACTATAAAGGTACAATTAAAATTAAATAATAGAGCCCCAGTAGTCTCTCCAGCTGCATCTGTGCTGAATTTCAAGTTTGCTTTGTGTAGATACAGTGTGTAGGTACCTTGAGCTCTGGCTGCCTCTGGAAGATTTTGGTCAGCTCAGCTGCAAGCGACTTAGTAATGTAGACGTGTGTACGTTATGGGGCATGCTAGGCTTGAGACTATTTGCTGGCTTCAAATCAATGCTAATGTTGCAAAGTAGATGTCCTTATGATCATACTGTATTGTACCCTGGAGAAAAGAAGATTTTTGTAATTGTTCATTCTGGAAGTATATCTGAGCTAGGTATGCCCCACTTCAGGGCAAGATGAAAATTTACCAGTTTTTGAAGCTTAAGAGTGGTGACTTCCTGATTCCCTGGTATTTCGCTTTTGCTGTGATATTTCAAGAAACCATTTTATGTAGTTTCAGAACTATGAAATATGTACACACGTAGTGTTTAAAAAAAAATGGAAAACCAAGGAAATAGTAGCTGTTGTTACCCATTAAATTGTTTGTTAGGAACTGATTGAAGATAAAATGAGAGAAATGAGATGCAGCATTGCCAAATATCACTTGACATTTTAACTTTCTCAAATTATTTTCCCTAGCAATCGAAGTATAGAGTTATGAACAAGGATCAGTGGTACAATGTGCTAGAGTTCAGCAGAACTGTCCATGCAGATCTTAGCAACTATGATGAAGATGGTGCATGTAAGTATTCATAACATTTTGCTTATTCAACTATTATTTCAATATTTTCAATTTGCATAGAATAAATATCTGTAACAGAAACAATACTGTAAGGTATAAAATACTACTTCCCAGCAATGCATAGAACTGTCCTGATAACTATCCATCTTCAAACTGCAGATATTAATTGTATTAGCATATCAGGGGTATGATGGTGTACTTGAGCCAACTTATATTCAGTTGAGGATCTAGTGAAGCTGCTTGCTATATGAAACTATAGACTTGCAAATAGAATTATAAACAACAAACTCTCATTTTGTACTAATATATAGTAAACTCGTTTAACTATAAAGTAGCCTAGCTGCTGGTACTTGGGGCTGAACTCTACACCTGGCTGATAGTCAATCATACCATGACTGAATTGCATTAGGCATCCCATTTTGGTCCATGTTCTAATTACGTGCAATTTTGACAGCTCTAGGAAGAAGGAATTAGTTGTGCCGATTTGCAATGTAACCTTATTTTTGTGCTTTCTGTTCAGTTCAGTGCACCTGTCAGATGTTGGGAACATTTTTTTCCATAGTTCTGTGTAGTGTTATTTGTGCACATTTTGCCACCCTTGGATTGAAATGACTGTAGTTGTCTTTGAGTCTTAATAAGTATTTGACCGCAGGATTGACGTGGATGTTACCTAGACCAATAGTTTTAACCTTCATGCTTTAAGAGAAGATGTTTGAAAGACAATGGCAAGTGTAACTTCAAGTTTCATCCATTTGCAGGGCCTGTACTTCTGGATGAATTTGTTGAATGGCAAAAAGTTCGTCAAGCGTCATAGCAAGAATTCAAAGGAAAATGCAAAAGTTTTTTTGGTGCCCGCCTGTACACAAACTAATGAGAAAAACAAAGGATTGCATTTTCACTCTTAAGAAAGACTTTACAGTAATTTTTTTTTCCTTTTTTAAGGAAATTTTCTTGTTACACGTGATATGGGCATTGAACCACACCTCTTCAGAGACTGAAAGTTGGAGTTCTTGTTTTGAGTCTTATGTTTATAGCATTTATTTCAGAACAATAAAGATTCAGATTTGTGACAAAGGCCTAAAAGTGAAGAATGTCCCTTGAATGTGAGTGTGGTGTCTATTTTTAAAACCAAATCTTTAAGATTATCTTTCTCAGAAGTGCCCTTTGCTATGAATTTTTGAAGACCTTAAAAATGCTTAACTGGCACTGTTGCTTGCTGATGGTGTGATTGTCTTGTGTGACAAACATTAGAAAGAATGACTGATTTTTGGGGCCCTGGGTGGGACTGTGCTAATTTGCTTATTAAGTATTGGTCATGGGTTGTGCCACAGTTTTCAGCTCCTTGTGGAGATAAAGGCCTTAAACTCTTAACTCTTTTGTTTTGTTTTGTTCAGTACCCACCCAGTGGCGCGGCATGTAATGGCAGGCCCTTTTAAAGCAGAAAGGTATAGAGTGTATGGCTCTATATGCAGAATGGACAAAAACTAGTTGCCTATACTTCAGATGGTGAACACAGATACTCTTTGGTACAGTAAGGCAGCTTCAGATTTTTATTACAATTTAGATTTTGGATTGCTTTGTATAAAAAGTGCAATTTATATTTTAAAAGGGAAAGCTGGAAAGACTTGGTTTCAAGCTTTGCTTCTTACATGTTTTAGACTGGAAGCATTCACAACATGACTTTTTTTTTATCTCCCTGGATGCTTTTCATAATGTAAGTCAAGAATAGACTATTAAATCACCTACCTTGACCTGTATCTAACAGGCTATTAATTTTTACCCTGTTACTCTATGTATTGAGTCCAAGAACTACTGCGATTGCGCTTTTAGGCGCTTGGTATTTGTGGCAACCTTTAAATACAGTAGAAGTTTGTCACCCTACCTTCCTGCCCAGGAGGCCCAATGCCACCCTTGAGAAGGAAGGGGATTTCAATGAGTAAATGTGAGAAACCAAAACAGCATGAGAGAATGAAGCATTAACTTCTACTTTATTACAGAAATATATTACGTGGACTGTAATAATGCCATGAGACTCAGTCTGATCAAGGCCTCATTGTGCCAAATATTTCAACAGCTTGAAATAAGAATAGACGATGTAAACTAGGCATGACTTGAAGATCTTTGCCTCAGGGAAATGACTTCTGTTTTGCACATCCCTTATTCAGACTAACAAGCGCGATTTTTCCTGTCCTTAAGGAAAGCTTTATTTCCAAGGTGAATTTTTTTTTTTTTTTACAAGGAGGGGGAAGAAAAAAAAAAGTGTGAGGAGAAATAATAAGTGGGAAAAACCAGTGGTGTGTGCCTGTGCTCTTATTCTGCTAGAGGACCACTCTTGCAACTTAACTCTCCAGACCTGCTTGCTGTGGGCTGCAGGAAGCAATGCAGTGGTGGTCCGTGGCCTGTTCTGCAAGTCACCCGATAGTGCAGTTGAACCTTAGAAGCTTGGTTCTGCCCAAGCGAAAAAAAAAAAAGCATTGGGCGGGACACACACCAACAGTTGAGATACTTGGAAGATCTCTGCTTGTACAGTGGCTAGTGTCTATGTGCATGCAAACACATGCACTACAGCTGTCCTAAATATTTTTCCACCTTTTCCAAGGGAAGTACTTAATTTCAGACCTCATGTAGGCTACAGCAGTTCTCTTCAATATGTTACAAGTTGTCCATTTGCATTGCTGATAGTTCTGATTTCACTCATAACAGAGTGCCTTTCATTTGGAAATTGCCCTGCCCCACAGAAAGTTCATGCCAGAATGAGATTAACTTCCAGAGTCCCAAGATCTACTGGTAGAGTAAGGTCCTAAGATGCCCAGATAAACATGCACCAACTAACATGTCAAGGGAAGTACTGCTATATAGTAAATCTCTGCAGGGGCACTGATTCTGAAATGACTCTCAAATTCACTACAATGACTCTCCTTGCTTAGTATGTTTAGTCCCTGTTATAACTGGGAAATTCTCTTTCCAGAAGATTTCAAATACCAGTTAGAAGATGGATATTTTATAGCGTGATTTAAAAAAAAAAAAATTCTTTTTTAGGTAACTGCAAACTGTTGTGAATTCAATTTAAACCTGTTGGTTTAAACCACCTAGAGGATAGTATTAGAGTCTAACAGTAGGAATGATGCATCTACCAATCCAAGGTGGTCAAGTACTTACCGTTAAGGTGTAAGACACTATGTGATGTATCATCTGTATCTCTGTTAAGGTTTTATCAGTATTCCTATAATAAATCCATGTTTCAGGGATTTATAGCTTGGTTGTGTGTGTGATTGAAAATCATCAGTTACTGTAAAACTTTGACTGGGAATGAATGTATTTAAACTACTTAAAATCAATATAGTTTTTCAAATTTGGATAAAATAGGATTTTAAGTTATGTTTTTGTGCTCAAAACTGCAATCAGATATATTGTTTTAAATGTGAACTAATGGCGTGTACAGTTTCATTGTGAGCTGATCACTTCTATTAGCTGTCTTTTATTAAATCACCTTACAGCTTACTGTGGATAAGTGCCAAAAGCTGTTTATTTATTTTTTTAATTTTGTGCATGTCCACAAGCCAAAACTGAGTTCAGCTAAATGCTTTCTTTAGTCTTTGAACTTTAATTTTGCTTTGCTCAGGTGCATGTCAGTCTATTGAATTAAAAAAAAAAAGTGTCACTTTATTTTTCAGTATTCTAAGATGAAAGTTCACAGGTGAAATATGCTGCCACAGTTATGACAAATAATAAAATTGAAGGTGAAATGTCTTCCAAAACTAAATGACAGTGATGTCTATCTTGATGTTATAAACTTCACTTTAATCTCACTTTAATTTCTTGATATTAATTCTTCCTAACATAACTAATTTTTTTTTCTAGTTTTCTTAGACAACTATCAGTTTTGGTTTTTAAATCTGAAAATGCCCACCTGATCATAGAAAAAGCCATACTGGTAGATTGGAATGTAATATTTCTTCTATGTAAAAATGTGATCTTGAATTAAACAGTCATGTACGTTTATCTATGTCTTTAACTGTATATGTAGTTTTGATCCAATTTATATTTACTGTTTAAACATCTAATTCCTTACTAATGGCTGTAATTTCACATTTCTATATAGTGGAATTTGAATTTTGCATTTGAGATTACTATGGATACAGGCTTGGTACCAATCACACATGGCCCGAGCGGGGGCGCTGTGGTCTGTATTTCCATTGTTAAGGTTTTTTTGTATCTCTCAAAAGCTTTGAGCTGATATATTGATATTGACTGCACAAAAATTGAAAAAGGGACCATAAGTTTAATGTTTCTGATGTTTTGTTCATTTTTTTAAGCTAGTGAACAGTTCTTTCAATGTAATATGTACAAACTTGTACAGGTTTAGCTTTGTTAAATATGACAAATAAAACGGTATGTAACAGGGCAGAAAACTTTTTTTTTGTCACGCTGCCTCTTTTAATTTTTTCTTTTGTGTATGTATAATTGTTCTTAAAATCACTGAGAGACTTAATTCCAGCAAAATGGATCAGTCTAATTTCTAACTTAACCTTGCTGAATAATTTCTTTGCTCCCGTGTGCACACATAGAAAATAGAATTTGATCTCAACTGGGAGTGACAGCAAACACCATTCTTGATTATATCCCATGTTATTAGGTGCTGATAGAATGTAATGGTCCTGGTAATTAACTGTCATGAATTATTCATTGGATGAACACCGTTCCAAGAACCTGTTGCAATGCATGTGAATGAAGAGTGAGCTTTTCTCTCTTCCCCAGGCAGCTTCTCTTCCCTGCACACACCCTGCCCCCGCCCCCCAGCATATTTCTTGAGGCACTTGTCTGTTTTTAGGAAAGGACTTGGTGTTTTCTAATGTACTCTTCCATAGGGTCTTTCAGAGCCCATTACAGAAAGGATCAAAGCCAGCATCCCATCATATGTTTGAGTAAGTGACACTGTTTTCCTTGCACATACAGCTTGTTCCACTCTTGACACTTTCTAGTCGTTCAGGTCCGATGCCATATCTGCGTCAGGACGGTCTTCTCTCCCAAAGATCGTAAGTGTCTCTCAGACCTAAGGCAATGCCCGTTTGCTGTCTCCATAGTTCCACTTTGTCTTCTTTTGATAATGAAGTTCCCAATGCCTTCCTGAGTCAGTAGGATGTTTGCAGAGTTATGCAGCCAGGCATCTCATTTCTAATATCTACAAGTGATGGCAGCAGTTCTGCTACTTTACCCTTGTCTTCTGTATTACCATTCTGTATTTCTGTCTCTGTGGGAAAGGATACTCTAGTGTTAGGTAGGCGTATTAAAGACTGAATGTGTACTGCAAGGCAGTGTTGCCTAGTGTTATCTTAACTTTTGGTTTTAAACCACTGCCAGGCTTGTCACCAAAATGAAATTAGTTTCTCAGATTTGTATATCACTTCACCCAGACTCTAAACTTTAATCTTGCTTCTGTTTTTATCTTGGCTAATCAGAGTATGGCATTCCCTATATATTGGGATCTCCGTAGCTTTCTTTTCTTCCCCTCCCCCACATAGTGACTGACCTTAATAACAACGACATAGGATGAAAGTTACTGAGTCTGTTTCACAGGCCTTACAGTGGACAGACTTTTATCTTAATGAGCGAAGTACTATTTCTTTATCCAGGTTGGTTCCAACATATTTCTATTAAATAACTTGCTACTTCATAAGCTATTAAAATGTTATGGTTGTATCCTGTTCCTCTAGAAATGACGCCTGTTGATAAAGATTCTTTAAACACTGTCCTGGTTTCGGCTGGGATAGAGTTAATTTTCTTCCTAGCAGCAGGCATAGTGCTGTGGTTTGGATTTAGTAGGAGAAGAATGTTGATAACATGCTGATGTTTTTAGTTGTTGCTGAGTACTGCTTATGCTAGTCAAGGACTTTTTCAGCTTCCCATGCTCTGCCAGGCACACAAGAAACTGGGAGGGGGCAGCCAGAATAGTTGATCCAAACTGACCAAAGGGCTATTCCATACCATATGACGTCATGCTCAGTATAGAAACTGGGGG